GTGGTGCGGGGACCCTTTTTTCCGTCGGACCGACGGTTTGCGAAATGGTGGCGCTTCTCGTCTCGGAACGGGGAAATTCGTTGGGTCCGATGAGGCGGTGCGTTTTCCTTTAACCTTTGTCCTTTTAAAGGGTGGTTATGAGCGAGGCAGGTTAAGGGACCGAGAAGTTCCGTGTCCCGCAGTGTTGGAGAACTTCTCGGTGTTGCTGTCCACGTCTTTTAATTAGCCCTGGTTACTTCGGTGATTCGTCCGGTTCTTACAAAGTTAATGGGCAGGAGGAATCTCTTCACAGATGCCTTGAAACAGTCAGAAAGGTAACTAGCAGAAACATCCTAGTTCAGCAAACTTTAAAGTTTTGCTGTGAAGCTAGAATTGACGCGCTTGGAAATAGCTGGGAAGAGTCTGAATTGCCTTTCCACCCTCTGAAGTGCTCTTGAACGTGCCTTTTATTTGCTGGGGAAGTGCACATTTTTTTTGTGGACGCTGAAGTTAGGAAGCACTAGCCTGCTGGTTTTGCCTTTGTGTTTTCCCAAGATAAGAGACTTTTTGTGGTGAGAAATTGTACAGGCAAGCCGAGGAATGTCTTGGCTCCCTAGTATCATCGTAAGGAGTTTCTCAGCTCTGGGCCATCCTTACTTTCTGAACGTAAGGTGCAGACTCTGTGTCACCTCTGTACGGTTTCACCAACTTTCCTGTGAAATCCGGTGCCACCGTTGAGTCCCGTGTACCCAACATTCTCTTTTGAGCACAACACGGGTTGTTATTAACAGCTGGAAGGTAACGTCACAGGGAACACACGAGCAGGAAGCTAGATATCTAGAGTAAATGTGTGTTACTCACTGCTTCACTTCAGCTCAGGAGGGTGAGCTGCTTTTGGGTTTTTTTTTTAAATTAAAAAAGTAACATAGTTTTTGTTTCCTTTTCAGAGGGAAAAAGGGCGATCAGAGTAACTTCAGGGTTTTTTCAGTTCTAACAGGAACATCCACTTAATATTGTGATCTTGCTTCCTATCACAAACTCGCGTGGAACGTTGTTGCTCAGCGTCGCAGGGCTGCTTCACTGGGTACCAGAAGTGGGGGGATTTCGAGAATCAGCAAAGCGATTGATATAATTTGTTGTTACTTTACAGGGCTTGGGGGGGGGCAGGTAGTATTTGTCAAGTGATTATTCATTCACTGGAAGGCTGCCGAAAGTACAGCTGTTTGGAAAAGTATCTTTGGTGACTGAAGGTGGTGGGTGTAGCGTTATAGAAAGGGGAGAGGGGGGAAAAGTTTGGTGTGTGTCTTGTAATTGTCACTGAGAAGACAGAAAAGTAAGTACCACAAGCACAGCGCCCAGGAGGAGGCGGTTCTGGAAACACAAAGGTAAAGTGACACAGTTTACTTAGGGGGAAAAAAAAATGCATGTGCTAATTGTTACTGTCTGCTTCTCTTTCAGATTGAAGCAAGCGAATTCTGCTATCACTCAACTTTGTTAGAGGGCTTTTTTTAAAAAAAAAAAAGTTGATCCACAGTGCATCAGAGCAAGTTACTACTTTACTTTTGAGTGACTTACAGGTGCTTGCCTGCATTGCAATAAAGGACTCATATATTGAGCAAGACTTATTTATCTCTTCGTTTTGGAGAGTCTAATAAACTGTTATTACAGTTTCTGTACTGACTTTCAAAGTTTTGAAGTCTAAAAAGACATCTTTAAAAATAAAAACATGAGCACGGCCAGAACAGAGAACCCTGTTATAATGGGTCTATCCAGTCAGAATGGGCAGTTGAGAGGCCCTGTAAAACCCAGCGGGGGCCCCGGAGGTGGAGGCACACAAACTCAGCAACAGATGAACCAGCTGAAAAACGCCAACACAATCAACAACGGCACTCAGCAGCAAGCACAGAGCATGACCACCGCTATTAAGTAAGTGTTTGCGCCGGCTGCCGCCAAAGTGACGTGTAAAAGTCGCGTTCCCGCGTGTAGAAAGTTGTCTGCTGTTGTTTTACGACGTCGGCGGCGAGAAGCGTCCCGTGACGTGCGTGCTGATAGGAAAGCTGTGTTTCTGTGCTCGAGTTTCCCCTGACAGCCATCTCTCCAATGTGTTCCTTGCAAAAATCAAATGTGATGCTTTGCTTTTCAGAGTATGTAGCCGCTTGTCAGCGGTAGCCCACTGAGCAGCAACAGTAGCAGCATCCTGTTTTCTTTGCTCATTGCAAGTGGTATGAGAGGGAGGTTGGGGAGTGGGAAGGAACCGAGCTGAAACTTAAGACAGAGGAGGAAACGCTACCTGGGCTCAGTCCAGTTGTGTCTTCTGCTTTCCAGTTGTTTGTTGTGTTCTTTCTTGTGGTGAGAAATCCTTTCAGGTTGGTTACCTTTTGTCGTTGGTGTAACGCTCTTGCTTTAATTCATCAAAGCCTGAGCTGAGATAATACGGTACCACTGTGATACCCTCCTGCCTTCAGACTGGTTTTGGAAGTGCGCTGATAAAACGTGAGCGTGCTGGTTGGAAATTCTGACGTGTAAGAGACGGGGATGGTGTGGTAACGTGTTCCTTTTCTTTTTCTCCTTCCCCTGAACAACACTCACTTTTATTTTGTTACTCGATTGTTTGCGGAGGAAACACCAGCTGTCCTCTGAGTACTTGAAGCCTGCCTGACTTGTGGTTTGTTTGTTTCAATGGGTTACTCTGAGGAAACTGATGAGTTTGCTCATGGTTTCCTGGGATTGGGGAGGAGGAGGACTTCCTCTCCTCTGTACCATGACTTTTGAGAGAGAATGGGTGTCTGGATCTCACTGAGAGAAAAAGACAACGTTTGATCAACAAGTGGAGCACGTGCTTACTTTGCTTTCACATAAGTGTCTTTTTCTTCTCACTTTACTCACAGATTAAGAATGGATGTTCCCCAGGCAAGAGAATTTTTCTTTCTTCGTGATGAAATATTCCCATGTGGATTTATTGTAGCCAGTTTCTGTCATGTGATTAAGTCAGTGCTCACTTTTAAATCTCTGTTCTACTGGATTGATTCAGTGCCCTAAAAACGGGACTCGAATCATGACTGGATAAAGATTTCACAAATTCTCTGTGCGCTTGGCAGGCTGCTGATTTTCTCTGTTTACAGTTTCCTGCCTGTTGCATCCCACTTAGCTCAGAGAAGACTTGAGCTCGTATGTGTAGGCGCTTTTAGCTTTCAGGAGGTGAAAAAATGTTGGCTGTTTATCACTGTATCTAAGAAAATAAAAATGCAGAATAAAATGGTTAAACTAGGTTTTAAATTTGTTTTATTTTATTTTATTTTTGCTGTAGACCTGGTGATGACTGGAAGAAGACTTTAAAACTCCCTCCAAAGGATTTGAGAATCAAAACTTCGGTAAGGACGGTTGAATCGTAGGAATAAATATTAAATAAAGGCTGTGGGAGAAGCTGCAGTGGCGAAATATCTGTCCCAAATAAAAATGCAAAAGCAGTTCAGCTCTCGCTGTTCTAAACGAAGACTTAATTTGTGTTACAACTGCTTGGGGGAGAGACGCTTCTCTTGGAAAGCTCCAAACCGGAGTTTACCGGGGATTTCTTACTTTATTAGTCTTACAGCGAGGGAATGATTGTCAGTGTCTCTCCTGAGGCAGACTCAAAGGTGTC